TCATAACTTCTTACATATCTTTCAACTTGAACTCTTACTACTACTAATTTCTGCAAGCTGCTTCACGCTAGCCCACTGACCAATCATGGCACACGTTAATGCTGACGTAGTTGTAGACCAGCTAGCAGGCTCTGACACGTCAAAGAATACGCCCAACATGTCAAACTAAAGATCTGATTGGTTGAACACTATGACAATCAACAACATCGTCCCCATTCACTTAAACTGCACATGAACTTGTGAGTCTGCAGGCCTCTGCCTCTCTTCTTACCTAGAGACACAGAGGTGAGATCTGATTGGATAAAAGCTCTACTTAAAACAAGCTGCACTGGAAGCAGAGCAACTGAGGAAGACAGGAGCTGTGCAATGAGAACATAAGATAATGGGAAACATATATTTATCAATTATAATACATGTAGTGTATTTAAGAAACATTATTAAATTATAAAATAGCTCTAACTTTGTGATTGTGTTTAGGCCAGCAGAGAAGGCCTTGCTGGCCCTGACGCCCACCACTGGTGCACGTGTAGCGGCCTTCTAGCTCCACTGGGAGCACGATGAGTTCTAGTGACGATGCTGTTTGTTGTGCAGGGTTTACTATGTACTAGGACTGAATGAATGAACCGGATCATTTAACTACAGTAGTACGGATACATGTTGATGCATCTTAATATGAAATGTAAAAACACCCACATGGTTGCTCTCTAGTACAGTGCGGTATCAATTTTAATCATTTTTTATACACATTTATATGTTGTTTCTACATGTTGGACGTCTATGGAACTGCCCGTAGAGAAATAAACAGCCATGTAAAAATAGAGAACCGAGGTCAGTGTGACAGTTGCAGTTGATTATAATGGAGGTGCTCTGGTGTGGGTGTACCCCGTGTGTTTCGGCTGAAAGGCGTTTAGGCACCGACCAGGAACCCTGATTCGAATCCGACCAGGGACCTTTGTAGCATCTCTCTCATAGACTGTGATGTTTCCAGAAAATAGTTTAAAATGCCGTTCAAACACAAACCTATTTTTATTTCAGTTCACAATGACATGAAACAGAAAGAAGCAGAGCCTCTGGAACCCTGGAGAGGCTGATATGAAGAGCACATATTTCAGATTTTACCTTGATAAATATGGAAACAATTGTTCTATTATCAACACGTTCATCACATACACTTCCTCTGTCACCACTGATCGGATTCTGAGGGGAAAGAAAAGTGAGAGAAAGTGTTGTGATTGGTCCAGTTGAGGGCAGGACAATTAGAGGTGAAAAGGAGGCGACGTTGTGACTAATCGGGCCAGAAGAGGATTCTATCGCACTTCCTGTGATGCATGCATGACAGGACCGAGACTTGTTTTAGCGTTTCACTGCAACTGTACAGCAATTCTGAGAATAAGAGAGGAGGAGAAAAACACACCACAACACAGAGAGAGAGAGAGAGAGAGAGAGAGAGAGGGAGAGCTGCACTGTTCCTCAGTAAAGCTGTGTGTACGTGCACGTGTGTGTGTCCACTCATTGTATCAGCACTAATACACCGTCTCTCTCCGTCAGGTGGAGGAGGAGGGTGTGAAGGAGAGAACAGAGACGGAGAGCTCTGTCCTGTTACTGGTAGAATGTGGGGGGGTTTGTGCCGTTGCTAAAGTTATCAGGGCGGTTATCTCCAGTGTGTGTGTGTGTGTGTGTGTCTGTGTGTGTCTCTCTCTCTCTTTTCCAGATGGTGGATAAGAGGCCTTGCCTTTATTAGCCAGCTCTGGCCAGATAAAGACCTGGTATTGATCCCAGGTTGAAAGAGCAGGTTCGTCAAACATGGCTGATTTACAGAGGACTGATAATGGCAGCGCTGGGCAACTGAGGAACCCCGGAGAAGAGGGAGAGGAGTAAATCAACAGTGTGATGGGGAGGGTTGTGTGTGTGTGTGTGTGTGTGTGTGTTGAGAGAAGGGGGGGTGGGGGGGTAAAAGGCTGAAACGCACAAATAAAGAAACAAAGACACAGAGTCAGTTTGCCATCGACGGACTTGCTCACATGTGCAGTGTGCCTGAGTTCTCTCATCTTCCTCTATCTAATACACACATAACCCAGTCCTCACCTCACACACGCACACACACACACACACACACACACCTATAGCTAATCTCTAATCTCGTCTCGATTAGCACCTGACAGAATTTCCATGGGTTTATCAAACCAAGCCAACCAACAGACTCTTATCACTTCCAGCCCCAAAATTTCACAAGAGCAGGAATTTTTGAGATTAAAAAAAAAAAAAAACACACAGCTCGTGAAATCTTGAATAAGTCAAAAGAATATGACTGAAAAACTCTGCTATCACACGGTACAAGGGGGGGAGGCTCGGGATAAGAGGTGCATGGGGGGGGGGGCAGGTTCACTGGAGCCAAGATTGAACCCAGAGAATTTTTTTATTCATTTAAAGACACAATGGAGATAAAGATGTGGGAAGCTGCAGCCTCATAATGGTTCCTCAGTCTGCTGTAGTTGTCTCTGGGTGACGGTAACTGTCTCCTGACAGATAACAGGTAGATGAAAGAAAGACTTTGCGTCCTGATGAGGAGATACATTTGGTAATAACCACTAATAACTGCCAGTAAACTCGACATCTGGCTTATTTTACTATAAGAGGTGTGTGTTGTCAGTAGCACAGCATAATCAGAAACCTTTACATGTTCTCCTCATGAGACTGAGTGTGAGCATACAGTGGATGGAGGTATTTGATCAAAATGTCAGCCTTTATGTTGACAGACACACTGTCGACAGTTTTCATCGGGACTATTTCCTTGATAGAAAGTAGTTCCAGTGAAAACCGTTAACAGTAAAGGCCTGTAGAATAAGTACAAGAAGCTAAACAGGTACATCTCCGCTTTTAATTCACTCTCGTGCTACAGTTGGATTTTCTTTGTTCCTCCTCTTACCTTCATTGTACAGCGACGTGTACGGCGGGGGGCTGGAGCTGTCCCCCTCTGCTGAGTCATCAGGGTCCGAGGCTCCGCCCTCCTCTCCTGATAGGCTGAGGTTGTCCGGCGCATTATCGTCCTCGCCGCCGAGATCCCCGAGAGAACCTGCAAGAAGAAGGAGAAGAAGGAGGGAAAATGAAGAACCAAATGCGTACATAGATCAAACCCACCGTCTCCTGCTTCCTAAAGAACGACACCTCATTCTGACAGAATACCAAAGAAGAAGAAATAAAGACGAATATTGCCAACTGGATAGAGATATTATTTATTATTGAAGTGGAGATTGGCCACCATTTATGTTGAAATATAATAAACACATGAATAATAAGAGTATCACCACTAAAACAAGAGCGCTCCTGAAAGTAGAGATCTGTCTGTGGACAGCAACATGATATAACATGATTAGTGCTGGGCAAGTTAACGCGTTATTATCACGTTAACGCATTCATTCATTAACGCAGACAATTATTTTATCGCGGGTTAACGCAGTTTATTTTTCATTATTAAGCGGACATTTATAACACAAGAACCAGCAGCGAGCGGTGAACAGCTGTTTGTGTGGCGTCTCTTCCTGTTTCCTTCACCTACACTCCCCTGGGTCCTAAGTCCCTCCATGTACAGCTTCTTATCACCCTCTATGTACCAACGTACATTTATAACAAAAACCACACATATTACACAGTAATCAGCATTGCATAGTGTCTGACCAAAATAGCAAAAAAAGCAAAAAAAAGAAATGATTCATTTAAATTATATTTTTAGAGTTTTTAAAGTGTTTTGTTTGTAATATGTATAATAAGCATCATTTAGTATCACTACTGAGAATTTAACAAACATAAAAAAAGGATAAAAACATGACGTAGACAGGTTTGCAGTTTTCAAGGTGTATATTTAAATTGCATCTCTTACACACATGAAGATAAAGTTATGAACACCGGCTGAATATCTATGATCAGAATCATTATAACTGTGTTATAACTGCTGCTGTGTAAAGGGAATACTGCTGCTAACAAGAACCTGATGTGTTTAAAGTGTTTACAAACCAAATGTTATTGACCTTTTGTTGATATAGCAGTACTTTAAAATAAAAGTGCACAATAAACTACTTTTGAATTCATGATTTAATTTTGCGCATAACAATGAGATTAATCGCAAAAAAATCATGCGATTAATCGCGATTAAAACTTGTAATTGTTGCCCAGCACTGAAAATGACACTTTGAGTGTAAACACAGCGGAGAGGTGAATAATAAACTCTTCTTCTTCTGAACTGGACTCATTCAGAAAAGGCTTTCCAGACGTGGACGAGCTGAACGGTCTAATCCAGAAGATTAATAGCAAGAAGCCGAGGGGGACCTTAAAGCCAAATTACAGTATACCTAAAATTGTAGCTAAAAGAGTGATTAGTGCAGGGCTGATCTGTATCAATTACAGTTTCATAATCCCTGCTGACCATAGTAATTATACAGTACTTTTGATCTATTTTAGCCTGATTGAAGATTACATCCTCAAAAAAGAAACAGTGAGTTAATATGGATTTAATGTGACTTTTTTGAAATTGCTTCATTAATAATACTCCTATAAGATGAATACATCCGGCTGCTTTAATGGTGCATTAAGAGCTCTAAACTTACTGTCATATTTACCGGCTGCTTGTTTTTCTGTATCCACAGAGCGAGTTACAGTTACCAGTGTGTGAAGGCGAGCTGATTATGGAAGGTCGTTTCTATTGTGTTCATGTGCGTCGGATGACACGCTCCGCTCTCCGGTCCCGAGAGGATTCTTAATTCAGGGTGAGCATTTCTTTAAGAGGATTAGGAAGTGCCAGAGTGAGGCAGAAATGGTTAATCACTGCCGAGGGAGACAACAACTCTCGCACATGGAAAGTCAACCGAGGTTTCTTTTTTCTGTCAGAGTGAAATTATTACCGAGAGAAAACCAGGATTTCTTTTTTCATTTCCCGCGTTCTAGGTTGTAAATTAATTTTATTAGGTTGTGTCGAACCAACGGAGGGATTGTTTCGGAGCTAAAGCCGTGACTGGGGGCGTATATATTTACAATACTGGAACAAAAGGAGTCTATAATCTATACAAAGCACACAACAATACCCATGAATAAAGAAGCTTGTAGAAAAAGGGAGGCAATTTTTCTAATTCTGTTAATTTCACTTCCAAAGCAATTAAAAGCAGGCAGAGATAATGCTGGGAAACAATCTCGGGCTGACAAAGTGTTTCTGTCTTTGTAAATGAAACATCTTTAGGCTAATTTCAACTTCCACGCCTGCATGGTTCACTCTAATTTCAGATAAAATGAACACAGCTAGATTTGGACCTTCATAAAAAGAGAAGTAGGAGAACGAGAGAAGAAGAAAAGATCGATCCTGAACACAATATTTTTAGAATGTCGCACGAGCTTTGCTAGATCTCATTTTCCGTATCTATGAGGACATTTTCATACAATTAATTTTCCTTTAATCATAATTGTACAAAGGGACTTCTCTATATAAAATTCCAATTATATTTCCTGTTTAAAATGTGAGTTTGAATTATGATTTCTTTCCTCATTACGGCTCTGGTTTAATGAATCAATCGCTGCATCGCTGCTTTCACACATCAAATGGTGCGGAAAAGTTTCAGCTCCACTTTCATCCAAGGAGAAATATTCTCTCTTTCTGTCTGGGATAGTTGGCGGGAAGGATAGCGGGGCCGCCGATAAGTGCGGCACATTCGACTTCATTTGCCAGTTTAAAAGTTAAAGCCTTATTAATTGTTACGCCGTGATATCCACAGGAAAATTGGACTGAACTGGTTTCCAGAGATGTAGAAATAATAGAAAGACAGAGCCCACATGTGTATCTCTGTGGGAGGGACAGCAATTAAGTTGAGACTTATCCAACAGCATGCACCACTGAGCTCTCTGTGAACTACAGACGGAACAAAAAGCAGGAAGCTCAATGTATTCATATTTCCAAACTTGAGGGCAATTAAAGTTTGATGAAATTCAGGAGACACTTCCCATCAGTTCCTGGACAGAGAAGGACTCGAGTTTATTCCTCTACAGAGTCAGTTACAGACGGGGGACACGACAAACAGAGAGAAGCAACAAAGAATGAAGGTTATCACAGTGACTCTCCACCGATAGAGCACCGATAGAGCACCGATAGAGCTGTGACGTCTGACTGTGGAAGGCTGGAGGAGCTGTGACTGAATGAAGACGCTGTGAGTGAAGAGCAGTGATGAGCTCTAACGCAGCTCATCAAGCCCGACTGTAGTGGACACATGTGGACACATATTACAGACTAAAGCTGCGCATTGATTATCATATCACTTATTCTTTTATAAATCATTTAGTACATACAACGTGAGAACGTGAGAGATCTTTTCTAAAGACCATCTTCAGTTTGATTATTTGGTCCAAAAACTAATTCAATTTGGATCAAACTATGGCTGCGTGTCATACCCGATTTATTCACAGAATAATGCTTTTCATTCAGAAAAATAGGACAAACTTCTCAAAACCTGTTTCAAAAACAGTGCCTTAATATTTTGATTCCAGATTTAGATTAGGGAAGATATGATCTAACAATAATAACAATAATAATAATACTAATAATGATAATAATAATACTAATAATGATAATAATACTAATAATGATAATAATAATAATAATAATGATAATAATAATAATGACAATAATAATACTAATAATGATAATAATAATAATAATAGTGATAATAATAATAATACTAATAATGATAATAATACTAATAATGATAATAATAATAATAATAATGATAATAATAATAATAATGATGATAATAATACTAATAATGATAATATAATAATAATATTGATAATAATAATAATAATGATAATAATAATGATAATAATAATAATGATAATAATAATAATTATAATGATAATAATAATAATAATAATGATAATAATAATACTAATGATAATAATACTAATTATAATGATAATAATAATAATAATAATGATAATAATAATGATAATAATAATTATAATGATAATAATAATGATAATAATACTAATAATGATAATAATAATAATAATATTGATAATAATAATGATAATGATAATAATAATAATAATAATAATACTAATAATGATAATAATAATAATACTAATAATGATAATAATAATAATAATAATGATAATAATAATAATGATAATAATAATGATAATAATAATAATGATAATAACAATAATACTAATAATGACAATAATAATAATAATAATAATAATAATAATGATAATAATAATGATAATAATAATACTAATAATGATAATAATAATAACAATGATATTGATAATAATAATAATGATAATGATAATAATAATAATAATGATAATAATAATAATAATAATAATGATAATGATAATAATAATACTAATAATGATAATAATAATAATAATATTGATAATAATAATAATGATAATGATAATAATAATAATAATGATAATAATAATAATAATAATAATAATGATGATAATAATAATAATAATAATAATGATAATAATAATAACATTAATAATATTGATAATAATAATAATCATAATGATAATAATAATAATAATGATAATAATAATGATAACAATAATGATAATAATAATAATAATGATAATAATAATAATAATAATAATGATGATAATAATAATAATAATAATAATGATAATAATAATAATAATGATAATAATAATAATGATGATAATAATAATAATAATAATGATAATAATAATAATAATGATAATAATAATAATAATAATGATAATAATAATAATGATGATAATAATAATAATAATAATGATAATAATAATAACAATAATAATATTGATAATAATAATCATAATGATAATAATAATAATGATAATAATAATGACAATAATAATAATAGGTAAAAAAGAATAATAAGAGTTCTAGTGGTTTTTGATGCTCAATGATATGAAATCAATCAAATAGTCCACTAATGCATCAGAGAGATGATAATCAATAACTTGAAGGATTGATCAGACAAAACTAAAGAAGTGATCCTCTTGATCTGACGGTTATTTGACTTGTTCTGTACGTTTAATGGACCACGC